TCATGTTTTTAAAACTCAGGGCTGCAAGCAAGCTAGGCAAATGGAGCTACTTCCCCAGCCCTGCCCCCCCTCCAGCCCCCCAGCTTCCTCTGCAGAGTCCCTTCTGCCTGGCTTAATGTGTCCAGATCTTCAGGACTTTGTCTCAAGTGCTCTGTCTCCGTAAGTGATGTGTATCTGGACACTTCAGGCACGCTACAGCCTCAGCCATTTCTAACATGGAGATGACTCCAAAAGAGCCTCCTTCACCCAAGCCTCTCTCTTGTGTTCCGTACTCCTGAGCTACCACCTTCACACCTCTTCCCAGACACCCTGGATTACCTTAAATTTTCATCTTTCCTATCCTACATGCATTTAAAAGGTTTCTTATTTTAGCCAGGCAACTGATCTACACAGGAAGTTTAAAAGACTGATTTTCCAGGATCTTATTTATTTATTTATTTATTTATTTATTTATTTATTTATTTATTTATTTAGTGTAGATGAGTGCTCTATCTTCATCTACACCTGCATGCCAGAAGAGGACATCAGATCCCTGTAGAGATGGTTGTAAGCCACCATGTGGTTGCTGGGAATTGAACTCAGGACCTCTGGAAGAGCAGACAGTGCTCTTTACCTCTGAGCTATCTCTCCAGCCCCAGGATCTCTTCAAAGCATTTCAGTTGTGTGGGTGATCTCAAGGTAGCCTCAGAGGACATAGGCCAAACTGGAGGCCCATATGCAGCCGAAGTGAGAATGGAAAAAACTAGAAACATACTTTAGTCAAGTAATCTGGGGCAAGAGACAGCCCTGCTTCTTTTTCCTTTAAATGCAGAGAGAGACTACCCAGTTAAGTGAGGCTCCTTTTCTGCCCTTCCAAGTTTGCTCCCCACAGTCCTGCAGCCATTGTGATCAGGAGGCAGATACAGCCGCCCTGTGGCAGGGTGGAGATACTGCAGCTCCTTTACTCAGCAAGGTTGGCTCCTTAAAACCTACCTGCCTTTTCAAGAATGCTACCTTAAGAAGGACTTCTTTCCCTATTTGATATAATTTTTAAGTTTCAGTTCTTCTTGTTCTAAAACAAATAATTTTAGGTTCCAAAAGTCAGTGTTATGAAAAAGATTTTTTTAATATTTTATGTTTAACAATAAAAGTATAAATTATTTAGGACCATCAAATGCTAATATTTAATGGTTTGAGACATGGTGTTATCCAGTACTAAGTATCTAGTGGGGGCGGGGAGGGTTAGATTAGACAGCTGACAACTTAGGAGAACAGTTTTCTGTTGTTTTGGTTTTTGTTTTTAACCAGAGGCTGTTGATATTCCAGAGCTAGTCTCTCTGTCCTGGCTTGATCCTCCCCAATTCAATAAGTGCATCAGTAAGCAGAGGCAATTGTTACTCTTCAAAGTCCTCATCCTTAGCAAACAGCTCTCTGAGCCTGAGTCTGTGCCTGGGACAGCTGGTAGCTCTCCTTGCTTCTGAGGGCAAAACGACAATAGCATTTAGCCATGTCACAGAGATCTGCTCCAGGAGCTGAGGGAAGATGGGTAGTGCCGAAACACAAGGTGCAGAGAGGCTGATCAATGGCGATGAGAGGTTGGAAATAAGACTGGACACCCAGGAGGGGGAGGCAGTAATGTGAATTCAAGGTCATCCTTGGCTATATAACGTGTTTGAGGTCAGCGTGGGCCATATGAGATCCTGCCTCAAACAAGTGAAAACTGACACAAAGCAAAGCCCATGTGCTGCTGCTGCTGCACGGAGAGGAGGGGTCTTACTAACAGCTCGCGTGACCGAATGTGAAGGAGGCCTTGCTTCATCCGTAAGTGTCAGTTTCCAAAGAAGCTGCAGAGCCCACACTCAGCAAGGAAACAGTGTGTGCACAGTGCAGACTTAGTTCACATGCCATGGAAGCTCATGCTGTTTCCCTCACATAGGGCTACTTTCTAGCAGCCTTTACTTCGCCCTTTTGTCTTGCTTTTGGCCAAGAATTTAAACATTTAGAAGATGCTACTGCTCGGCAGTTTAAGGTACCTGCAGAGAGGTGCTTAAACTAAACAGAAACAAAGAAATTAAATAACTTGCTAAAAGATGATACCTCCAGTGAGTAAGTGATGGAGCTGGCATTTAAATCCAGGGAGATTTGTAACAGGTTTTACTCATAATGACCACATTAAATATGTGTTGAAATTTGCATAGGAATACATGCACTGTGTATGTTCTCTATAAAAACGGGGTGGGGGGGCACATATAACTGTATCTTTCTGATGCTGTTAGAGAATGGAAGATGCTATTCCACAGGGCATGAGTGAGTCTCTGAGCACACAATACAACAGTTCAAACAATGATATGTTCACATGAATAAGAATCAGGCCATCCAATTAAAACCCAGGACGGACTGGGAAAAGCTCAGGGCTTGTATTTGCTTTCTTTTCTCTTACTGTCTTTGGACTATTTCCGGTCAGTTTCCACCTCAGTTATCAGAGGCTCGATTCTAAAATGGCTCCAAGATCCTTATCTGATGAGCATGAAAGATTCTCTGCCTTGCTTGTGGCGGAGACTAGACGACAAAGGTGGCTCAACAGTCACTCCCATGATTCTATTGCATTGCCCTTATCAGGCTAAAGGAGCCTACAATGGAGAAGCAAGATGGCACAAAAGAGCAATCTTGTTCAGGATACTCTGCTTCCCAAGGGCGGCCTCTAAGAGTTGAAAGGGGCCCAGCTGACAGCCATCAAGCCAAAGGGAACTTCAATTGACAGCTGCATGAACACCAAGTCTGCCAATCACCGTGATGAGCTTTTTAAAAAAAGCTCTCACAGCAGCTGGGTTGCATGCTGGTCAACACCTGAGCTCAGCTTGGTGTGATTCTGAATGGCGTGAGACAGCCAAAGTCGTGGCCAGAGGTAAGTGGGAGACAGCAAGTGGCCTATGAAACTGCTAATGCTGTGCTAATTTATGGTAGAGCAACAGTCAGAGGAAGCACAAGTCAATATCCATCCCTTAGGGGACACTGTGATGGCTCCCTACCTCTAGGATAACGACGGAAACTCATTACCTCTGATTTGTTGTAATTCATGTTCTTTCATTCCTCCGTGCCTTTTCACCATGCTTCCCTGAGCATTTTCTAGGCAAACGTCAAAACCCAGGTCAACCATTACTTCTCCTAAGAAGCATTGCTCATGAGCTCCACCCATTCCTGATCGGTCTCCTACTCTTTGTTCCATGGAAGCAGTGTGTATCAGGATACACCATAATGACTTCTTGTTGGTTCCCTTCTCCCTGTTAGCCTGAAACATTTAGGATAGAGGTACCTTGAAATGGCATGCTCTGGTGCTTTGTATTTGATTGTTAAATCATTTTGTTCCCTGAGGTTTGCCTGCTGTTACTGACAAGAGAACTGTCATGTACCCCAAATGGCGCTGCGCAACCTTGCTTCCAAAATTATTCCTGATTGGCTGAAAAAATGCTCATATACCTGGGCAGGGCAGAAATGAGGAAGGCGTTGCCAAAGTTCATGGGCTCTGAGGACAGAAGGATTATGGGAGGAGAGAGACAGGTGGAGGAGAAAGAAGCAGAGTTGGCATGGAATAGGTGAAGAAACGACATGGGCCAGGAGGAGTGAACTCTGAGAATGCCGTGGAGAGGAACTGTCCAGATGGAAAGTATATACAAGTATTTATGGGGATTATAGATGGGAAATAGCCCAGATAGAAATGATTAAGGCAAAAGGCGTGGGATGTGGGTTTTGGTGGTAACAAGGTAGTTTAGGGGGTTAACATGTGCCCAGCCCCAGGCAAAATAAGTCTTATCTAAAAACCTATCAGGTATCTGTGTCTTTTATTATTTGACAGCAGGTTATATAAAACCACCATAATAATTGTAGGCATTTAATAATAAACATTATTAACAATTTATGTTTTATACAACAGTACCCAAGCACAGACAGAGGACAATATATAGTTGGATACTGAATGAATAAAACGAGGCTTTGAATAAGCATAGGCTTTGATACCAGGAAAGACCTCCATGACAACAGCAGAGTGATTAACCACGCACTTTATGCAGGGAGAACGAGCAAATATTTACCATCTCAAAAAAGATTATATAAACAGGAACAGGTGGCCAGTGCCGTGAAAAGCTTAGATTCTCCCTACAAGAATGGCAAGGAGTCCTATATAATTTATCTTGATTATAAGTCATTTGCTGTGGTTGCATGCTTGCAGATTCAAATTATTTGGGTTAATCTACTCCTGAAAACAAATGTCAACCAAAATGCACAGCAATCTCAATGGCTCAAAGTGATGGGCAGCAAGACAGACATGGGAATCATATATCAATATAGCATTCACAGACCTCTGGGGCATTGTAAGGTGATCAAAGCAGTGGAAATTATGCATCATTAATCCATCACAAACAATACTTGCTCGATGTGGCTTGTGGGAGAATTGAAAGTGAGAATTCATATTTTTCTATAAGATCCACTGCCTTACTCCCAAGGGGAAGGCGCGCGTGTGCGCGTGTGTGCGCGTGTGTGTGTGTGTGTGTTCACAGATAAATGAAATACAGCTTTTTACTTAAAGTTTTATAAGAACATTATGAGGAACTTGGAAAACTGGAAAAATTCACGGGAGACAGTCATGCCATGCTTGTGAATGTGTTATGTGCATATCACTATTCACACAGGGAGGAACTAGGGCTGGGGATGCAGCTCAGCCCATAGTGTGCTGGCTTAGTATGTGGCTTGCATCCCAAAGCCCCAGATTCCTTCCCCAGCATTTTATAAAGTTGCTCCCACCCCCATCTTAGCCCTGGGGAGGTAGAAGCAGGAAGATTGGAGTTCAAGGTCATCCTTGGCCACATAGGGAGTGCAAGGTGACTCCAGTTTACTTGAGACTCTGCCAGTGGAACAAACAACAACCCCCACCCCACACACACCAAAACAAACAGAAAGTCCTGGGAAATGGAGACTGTAGGCTCAGAAACACAAAGGAAACATCGTCACTTTGGAACAGTGCATACCTTCAATGCTCTGTGGCCCAACAAGATTCATGGCTTGGTGAGCTGGGTATTCCACTCGTGGCCTGGCAATGCCCAGCTGCTCCATCACGCCATGGAGCAGCCTCTGGATGTCTGTTTCTGAGACCCGGTCAGGGGTCCGTGAACTATAAGCGAATGCTGGATTCCATTCAAACATTAGCCAAAACAAAAGAGCAGATAGCATGACAGAGACCACCCTTGAGGCCATTTTTAACCTGTAGAAGAAAGGACCAAGGGTTATACAACTTGGCCAAAATTGGCAACAGTGATAACACAACTGTGGTAATATAATTATGAATCACAAGCTGAGACTGAAGGACCACCCTGAAAGGAGACTGCAAAGAAAATTTCTTAGAGGTTTGCTTTTGTGTCAAGTGTCCAAGCCAGGTAGGAAACCATTGTGTGAAGTGAGTAAAAGGACAAAAGAAGGGAGATGGCTCAGAGGTTAAGAGCATTGTCTGCTCTTCCAGAGGTCCTGAGTTCCCAGCAACCATGTGATGGCTCACAACTATCTACACTGGGATCTGATGTCCTCTTCTGGCATGCATGCGTACCTGCAGATAGGACACTCATATAGATAAAGATAAATAAATCTTTTTAAAATATGAGAAAGACAAAAGAGTCCAGGATAAGGAAGTCTCTCTAACTTGCTGAAAAGTCTAAGCCAGAACAGTCATTCTCACACCCATGACCTGTGATCCTTACCAACCAAGCACTTTCAGTTTTGAGAAATGGAGGGTGATATTTTGATTTTTCCCAATGAGGGAGGGGGCCACGGCAGGGATACAAATTGAATAAGTTGTAATAAATAATAATAAAGATAACAAAAGAAGTTAGAAAAACTAAAACAGAACACACACACACAGAAAGTTCTGGAGTGGTGGCCCCACTCCAGGGGACAATACATTAAGATCCTGAGCAGAGGTAGCCTCAGCTCAGATCACACCCTTCCAGAAAGCTACATGAAAGACGCTTCCTTGACTGCACACCATCTAAGTGATCTAGGCAAGTACGGCGGCCTCCTCTTCTGCAAACGAGGACAGTAACAATCTGTCTTGTAGAGTTATGGTGAAGAAAAACATCAAAATCATGTAAAGGGACATGGAACAATGCCAGGTACTGTGAGACCCCTGTGCTTTTATTCCAGTGATGGTGACGTCGTCTCCCAGTTCTGTAACTTAAGATCTGTGGAGGCGGCAGGGAGGAGAGGGAAGACAGTGCGATGGTGGGGAAAACGCATCTGTGGTGTCAACCGTCCTTACACGGTGGTGTCTGTGGAGATGCCTGCAGAGCAATGAAACAGTATTCACACAGCTTCCCTGGCAGCGTTTGCTTACTATGGTGCTTCAGGCATCAACCAGATAAACCCATCTGAGTACTCAGTAGGGGTAGGGATTGGAAAGGAAAGGAACAAGCGTCTTTCCTAAAACAAATAGTCCCTTTATCTAATGTGCTTTTCTGCAGCTAAAGGCCTTTTGTGCTCTCCAAAGAGCCGAGGACGGCAGTTTTAACAACACAATCTACAGTTGTGATAAAAGGGCTGGATGCAGGCCTCATCATCTCCGTCTTTTTTCCATGAATCCCGAGTGCAGGATGTTTTCTTTATTGCCAGCCAAAGGATGAACTACCCAATCACCGCTCTCAAAACTCGTTCCTTCCCCCTTATTTATAGCCAGCCCTTGTGATCCCTGCACCCACCCTTTGTCTGACCCCAGCCTCCCCCATCTTATGTACCCAAGTATTCCCGTGTTTCACAGGATGATCAGCCAGGCGCCATCACTGCTGTACTCACCGTGGGGTCCGCTGGCGAGCTGGTTGCAATCAGGGCCGAAGCAGGGAGCTGACGTGCTGGATAGCTCCTGCGTCACCTCCCTCCCTTCTTAGCCCCACCCACTCCCCGCCCACAGCAGGTGGAAGCTGCCTTCCCAGAGTTCCTGAAAGGAATTCCAGATGTCTGCGCCTCTGGCCTGGAGCTTAAAAAGGATGCATTCTGTGTTTCTCTTCGCTGTGAGATTTCTCAGGTGCCCGCTTTTTCCATCGGCTCCTATGAACGTCATTTACCTCCTTTATTGGTCTCAAGCAATTCCCTAAACGCAGACCACCACTAGATAACGCATCTTTAGTTTTGCCATCTTCTAGATTTTAAAATTAGCATACAAACGGGTTTCATGCTGGCGTTTTCATACTTTTCTAGTACCTTTTCCTTTATCCCCTCACTTAAGCCTTTTCCCCTCTCATTGTCCCATCTGGTTTAACGACCTACACTCAAATCCACAGGTAGAAAAATCAAGACTCTTGAGAGAAAACGTCCATTTGTCTCAAATGTGGCAATGGCAGGGGTGACTAAGAAAAATCCAAGCCCTGAGGGGTTCTGGTGACAATGACACCTCTCTATTGAATCTTTCCTTAACCAACCCCCGAAAGAAGCCACACTTTCAAGACAGGCAGAACTTACCCAAGCAGACCTAGAATTTATTTTTATATTTTGTGGTGCCGATGATGAGACCCAGCGTCTACAAGACTCCTCGCCCCCAGAGTAACAGGAATACAGCAGTGGCCAAGCCCATCAAACTAGGCATGAGTTGCTTGGGGAAACTTCTGGGAAACAGTAAGGCCCTAATGAGGTTGGAATCAGTCTTTTTTACTGCAGCAGCAAACCCATCTGCATTTTAATGCAATGAAGACTTGAGACAGAGCTTTCTGTGTGAAGCCTGGCATCCTTCCTCATGCTTTTTCTTTGCTCGATGCTTTTTGTTTCAAACAACATGACACATAAACAACATGACACATGCTGGATCTAGGTTCAACGCTTATGATGGCACACAATATTTACTAGAAATGAATACTGTTTATTCCAAAGTTTACTTCAATGTTGTTCAGTTATATTCCGTTTTAGTTTGAAAAAATGGGTTACTACATTTTGCTGGCTGTGTAGTTGACTGAAACATGACAAAAATGTCTTAAGATTCACATCATACTTTATTAACAGGGTGTGAAAGCCTTTATACTGCTGATAAAATGCTGAACATAATGATGGAAAGAAAGAAAAAACTCTTATTTTGGTTCCTAACTTTTGAGATTTCAGTACATGATCACTGGCTCCACTAGTTTGTGAACCCACAGTTGAGTCAGCCGTGATGGTGGGAGTACATGATGGTGGGTCACGATAAACAGCAGAGGACAAAAGGGACTGGGGTTCCCCAGTGACCCAATTCTTGCTAAAGGCTCTGCAACCTCAAATAGGACCACTAACTAGGAACCAAGCATTCAGCATGAGCCTGCGGGTAACATCTCACATTCAAGCTTGAATAAGGATCTCACCAAGGCTATCTCCAGTGACCCTAGCTCAGCCTCAGGAGTAGCTGTGATTACAGGACTGTGTCAGTGCACCTGACTGTAACTTGGTATTTTTAAAGTAAAACATGAATCATGTATATCCTATACTTGATGATTCTCAAAATCCTACATTCAGTTCATAGTGACTGTAGAACATCGCCCAGAAACCTATTAACTTTAGTTCTTTGTATATTAAAATGCACTGCTTATTTATGAGAACACCAACTATTAGATTTTTACACTTAAAAAGTGTGACTAATTCTTGAAGTTACTGTACATATCACTTTTAACTTTGGAAATCACAAATGTATACTGTCTGATCATAAAGCCAATGAAATTAGTAACAATTATTTTTGTATAAGACAATAAATACAAAGATGAAACCACTTTTTAAAACTTTCTCAACTTTCAAATATGAAATGATTTGGAATCTTAAATGTGTTGAGGATTTTGTAGAATCTTTAAAACTGAGGCAAGATCTAAATAGCCTACATCTTTATCTCCTGTGGGCATCTGCACCATGCCCTGCTCAGGCATCAAAGACACACTGAAATCTTAAAAAAAAAAAAAAATTCTTCATATACACAGAAGCTTAGCTCAAAATGTTTCAAACTTTGAAGCACCTTCAGCTTTCTGTTTTTGGGATGTTCAATCAGTAGAGCCTATGTAAATATTCCAAAATCTAAAATATTTCTCTTTTGACTTTAGGTAATGGATCCACACAACCTATTCTAGCCATATATAAAATGTATGGCTAGTCTGTTTTGACACGATAAATATGAAGTTTAGGACTAGAGACATTTAGTTTTTAAGTAAACCTTAAAATAGATCTGGGAAAGAATTACTAGGTAATGAACATATGAAATAACCTTGAAATAAAACGAATCTTAGGGCAGAAGAGGTAATCTTTTGTTTTTAGTATCTATTTTACGAGCACTGGTGTTTTATCTGCATGTATGTCTGTGTGAGGGTGCCAAATGTCCTGGATATGGAGTTAGAGATAGTTGTGAACTGCCATGTGGGTGCTGGTAGCTGAGCCCAGGTCCTCTGGAAGAGCAGCCAGGGCTCTTAACAACTGAAGCATCTCTCCAGCTCCACTCGTTGCTGTTGTGGAGGACCCAGGACTGGTTCCTAGAACCTACACAGAGGCTCACAACCATCCAGGGTATCCAACCCCTCTTCTTACCTTGGAGAATAGGCACATGTGTCACACATATTTACATGGGTTTACATATATAGACGGAGACAAAATACAAATAAATCTTAAACACCCCACAGATCTTCAAGTAGAACCTGGCAAAGCAAACTTAAGGACTTGCCTCACATACAGAGACACTAATTGTGTGTGCAATGCTTTGCATCTAAAATATAACAGTCTGAGGCAAGATGTTTCCAGGAAGTTATTTTTAATGTCTATTCTAAATAAATAACATTTAAGCACAGGATAAGACTATCAGATATTTACCTAAGTAAAATGTACAGAGATACATTAACAACTCAAATTCTAAAATCAACCATCTTCACAGAAAAAGAAAACCTTGATTAAAATTTTCAAGTTAAATTATTCCTCCTTAAAAATTTCATTATCATATTGGACAAAATAGATCAAAATATATTTTAAAGGTAATTACTTTTAAAAATGAAGTAGGGCTTAAAATTAATCAATTACTTCAACATCATAATATATGAATGTGCCTTAGTCATCATTCTGCTTTAAGCACTGTCTTTAACTCAAAATTCAAGTGAAACCATAGAAGACACTAACAAATTCTTCAGTCCCAACAGGAGGAAGTATTAGCATACCACTGAGGCAAATTAACTTCCAAGTTAATAAGACAATAAACATGAACATAATTCAAGATCTGCAGGACTTACCCAATCTTTTTATGTATTAGAATTCTGTAATGGATCATGTTTCTGACTTGGAGGAATAACAAGAGACAAGCACAACTTCCTGTATTCTTCCTATCATTCATGCAAAATAAAAATCATGTCCCTTTTTAAAATAAATAGATCTAGGCAACAAATTTCTTTAAAAAGTTAATTATAACCTTTGCTTGAAGAAATCACAATAAAGTTAAGTTTAAACGCTTCAGTAATAAAGAAGAGCAAAGAAGCCTTATGTGCAAGCATGAAAATCCAAATTGCTCCAGCAGTGAGTGAGACTGCTTCAGAAGAAAACTATTTGACAAGCACCCTGACCTCCACACTAACACACCACTATGTGGCTGACCACCCCAGCAGTTGCTAATTTTATTTACACTGATGACAAGCACCACGTTTGACAGTTACAAGTCTACAGGCTTACTCGTTGGTAGCAGTTGAGTCTTCCCAATAGGATTTTTGGGAGAACCTTTGTACCAGGCCCTTTCTTTTTCTGATGGTTTCCTAAGAACTCTGTCTTTTATCCCAGGGGCACAGACATTGTTGTTGTTTACAACAACTTTTAATCTATCGTGATTAGTGAGATCATCCAAGGGAAACTTCATTTGGCCGTCAGATTTGCTCTCCAGTTTACAAAGTCTAGTAGTTCCACGAGAATCATGCATAAGATCTGGATGTCTCTTCATTTTTGTGAACACTTTAGAAGTTACATCAACACCTGATTTTGAGAGTGCATCACTGTACTTATCACACGAAGCCTTCTGTGGTTCAGGACCCGACTTACTACATGAAATAGAGGGATGTTTTGATGTGCCTTCTACACAAGAGGGAAGAGCACTGTCACAGCTCACTGATTTAACCAGAGGAGAAGCTGCGTCACTAAGGATTGCCAATCTCTGCCTCACAGGCTGCCTGCCATGCTCCAACAAAGAATTAATTCTTCTGACAGACTGACGGACAGGGGTACGCTGGAATTTAAGAGGTGATTTCACTTTTGCTCTGTTTGGTTCATTTAGAGAAAGTTTATTAAACCACTGTATGTGATCAGAGACCTTCCCAAGCTCTGTCACTTGTGAACCTCCAGGAACTGCATCCTCGCGTTTTTCCACCAGTGACCGTTGCCTAGCAAGTCTCTGGGGCCGAGGTTTGGAAAGGACTATCACACTGCATGTACTCTGCACTACAGACTGAGCCTCACCTTCCCCAGCACCTTTACATGCCCCTGAGTCCCCTTCCACCACGCTCTCATCCCTCCATGACGGAGGGCTCAACTGGCCCCTTGGGGACTGTGGTTCCTCTGTTTGCTCTTCACCGGGAAATTCTTGCTGGATTAAGTCAGCTTTTGGTGCTTCTGAGTGCATGTCTTCACGTTCCACCTTCAGTTGAGCTGAATAACTTCCCACGCTGGCTTCTCTATCAAATTCTGGGCTTTGGAATGATGAGAAATTACTTTCTGAAACACAGTCCTCGTTTTCACCCGTGCAGCTCTCATCATTTCCCTTTGATCTTCTCACAGTCACTTCACTGGATTCACTTTCTTCCCCCATGTTTGTTCCTGATGACTGCCCACTATTTATCACTGTAGTAAGATCACTCCCAGATTCGGAAAACGCTTTCTGAATCTTCTGCAAGGTTTTGGAGGTCAGGTTACCCTCATCCCCGCTAAGAGAACAACCCAGCAGACTGCTATCAGGCTGACTGTGGAAGGTGGAAGGCCTGAGCTCACATAACATAAGTGGTAATTTTTCAACAGTAATATCGGGCTCCAACGAGAAATTTTTCACCTCAGGACTTATTATTATTGGAGAAGTTCCATTTGCACCCATGTCGTGAAAACTTGAATTGCTGGGTTCTGTCCAAGACATCCGGTAATCCACTCCATCTAGCTGATCTGGAGTTAGTAAGTGTTCCTCAGATTTGCTGATCTTTTCTGTGCCTAAAATAAAGCAGTTGACGCTTTTAATACTTTACATTTTGCCTAGTTTTGAAACACAATCCAAACACATAACAAATCAAGTTACTAAGCATTCTTTTCAAAACACTGAAGATGTTATAATTTAAGATAAAAATGTCCAGTATTGACATTTGCAAGCTTCTTCCAATTGTTGACAGAAAACTACACTGCCAAGTCAAATATTTTCACCATTAAAACGAGACCTTTAACCTTCTAGGATATAAAATAATATATTTTGTCTTAAAGAAACGGATACCAGAATTTGAGGTAAAATTCTAACAGTATTGTGTAAATGTACCTTTCTTTAGCAATCTTTCATCAATATCTGGGCTAAAAAGCAGGCCTGTTTTTACAGATTCAATCCTATTTTTTAGATTGTGTTGATTCGCTAGTCGTCGACCAACATTTTCATATCTATTGATGACAGAACATCCATTCTGTACAGAAAAGAAAATTTGAAAATGGTTTAGTTAAGTAAATCAAGTTAACTAAAAATAGTAAAACCAATTAAGTATTAAAATCAGGAAATAATTTTAAAAGGATTATATAACTTTGTAACAAACACAAATACTCTTGTCTACTGGTGAAATGTGAGAAGATTAGGTAATATTTTGTGAAGTAAAATAAAAAGAACGTGACATAGTTATTCAGTATTAGAAAAAGCAAAAGTTGTGCTATCTCTGTGCTCTCTCTGTGTCAATTTGCCTGGTGACGAACTGTGTGCATACTGTGTGTGTATGTTTATGGTACTAGGGGTGGGGTATGGGGTAGGGTGGTAAAAATTTTGCCTCATAATATTTATAGTCTAAGATGAGATTTAAAATCAAGGTCAAAAGTGAGATGGAGAATACGGAAACAGTAAAGAAAACACTGCTGTTGATGGGGGGAGTACAATTTCACACAGAGGATGAGAAGAGCATTTCAGAGAAGCTCCCAGCACAGCTTCTACAGCAAGAGTGAAGATCAGAAGCTAATAGCTCAGACACATGCTCTGGAAACAGACCACATGGAGCACTTCCTGTTAATGTAGGAAGCTGGGGCTTCTTTTGGAAAGTTCAGACAGACGAATATATGACTTGGCTTTTTACAGGACTGTTCTAGGGGTCAAATATTGCAGAAAAGGCAGAAGCAGGCAGACCTATCTAGATGAACTGCAGATTCTCCAGAGGAAAAGACACTCTGGAGGTAGCTAAGAGAAGTCAAGCAGGCTTCAGCACATGAGGATGTGAGTGAGGAATCAAGAGCATGCACCGTTTGGCCTAGGTGGCTGGAAGAGCAAGCTGCAGAACTGATGGGAATGATGGCAGTGAAAAGGACAGTTGCAGCAAAGGACAGTGTGTGTGGAATCGGTTTTGCCTGAACATCCAAGGAAGAAGTGAGCAGAAATCAGAGTTTAGTGCCACAACACACGCTCAGCACAATAGAAGACAAAATACTGGCAGAATCCAAATCAAAGCAAACACTAATCCCTGCGAACAAAGACAGATTCTGCCTTGTTTAGGAGGGCTTTGTGGGCCAGAAAACTTACATGTTCCTGTCTTAGACATATGGTATTGGATAATCTGTCACAAAGGCGTTTGCAAAGTAGCAGGAAAGTAAACAAAAGAACAGTAATGGGTCTTGAACCAAATGCTAAGAGGGTAAGTAAGGCCTTTTAGTTGACAGCTCCTGACTACTTGCTTAAGAAGGCTTCCTTGTTTTGTTCGTGGTTCACAGGCCACCTTGTTTTGTTTCCTCTGTTTGCTTTCCTGACTGGTGCAGAATCACTATGAAGACTAGGCTGGCACTGAACTCATAGAGATCCCCATACCTCCGCCTCCCAACTGCCGGAATTAAAGGAATGAAGCCCTACCTTGCGAGCAGTTTCAGTGGAGTTCTGAAATTTAAAGATAATAATAATAATAATAATAATAATAACAACAATAATAATTGATAAAGAGCAGTAGTTCAGCCAGGCCTTGTGGTACATGCCTGTAATCCCAGCACTCAGGGAGGCAGAGGCAGGTGGATCTCTGTGAGTCCCAGGCCAGCCTGGTCTACAAGAACAGCTAAGGCTACACAGAAACTTTTTCTCTCTGTCTGTCTATGTGTGTATTTGTGTAAGAGTAATAGTACATGGTTTATTATTTCAGAAGGAAGGCAAGTGTGGAAGGGTGTAATTCTACAGTTTTGTGTTACTATGATTTGTGTTATGCTATTAACAGATTAATAAAGATATAAGCCACTATTCATGTCCTTAATTGTGAACATTAACTAAGAAATGCCTATAACATCAGATAGGCATACCTCTAGGGTTATCTGTGAAGGCATTTCCAGAGATTGTTAGAAGAGAGCTCTGGCCTAAAGAATCAATCATTCCATCAATGATTCATAAGCCAATGGCATTACTGGGAGGTTATAGAGAAAAGGAGAGGTGCTTAGATCTGGACCATGCCCCAGCCCCTTCCTGTATTCCTTCTCTTTTCCTAGCTGCCAAGATGTCAAGGGCTCTGCTTGCCACATCCTCCCCAGCAGGGTGAACTGACACTTGTGAAAACCCCAAGCAAAGAAATCCCTCCTTTGTGCAGCTTGTTGGTTCTTCTACCACAAGGACAACTTACCGAATCTCTGTTTTTCCCCAGGCTAAATTTCAGACGAAGTGATCTCCGAACCTTTTCTTTACGACTGACTTTAGGAGAGAAGCAGCCTGCTCTTCCTGATTCTACCCTAAAGGGTGGAATTTAAAATGACAGTTTCTGGTATAAATATCAGAAATTCTTGCAAAATGAAAACTTGACTCACAGTTCAAAAACATCATGCTGTTAATAATGTAATAATTTTACATTATTAATAATTTTAAAAATCACTTAAACTTTAACATATTATATATAAATACTCATCTGCATATGAAAATTATTAGTCATCCTTTGTCATTTATAAACCAGTATCATTAGAACGGATTACTTTATAAGCCCAAGAGAACTTAAAATTACACAATCAACATAGAATAGGATTTGCATCAAGGACAGGGGATTCAATTTAGCATTTGTTCTTCTTTCTGATAGTATATGAAGGGCCAACAATTATTAAGAACACAAAGACTGAGGGATTGAAAGAGTCGGATTAAGCTATAATTCTTAGTAGAATTGCAGCATATACTAGTCACCCAGTGAAAACACAATGTCTTGGACAGATCACCTGTAAACTTTTTTGCTTGCAATCCTTTTACTTCGCCTCAGGTCTGTATTGATCAAGTGGTTTCCACTCAAGGCGATAGGTGAGAGCGAACTCTGAGATGACCCTTCTGGGCTTGTATCAAGGTGAACTATAAGAAGAAGGACAGGTAATCCATTACACATACTCACTTTCTTTACAAAATATAAAATAGCAGCAAGGAGATGTAAGTCCAATTTCTACCACTCAAGCAGCAACAAGTACAATTTCTGCTTAGAGGTGTCAGGTATTAATAACTGACCAAAAGAGAAAGTATTAATGTCCCATTTAACAGTTACCAATTAGAGGTTAAACTAAGCATTAATGTTATATTAGTTCTGCTTTAAACACTTAGTACTAAGAGAGGGATAGACCTTGCCAAGCTCTGAAGAGTATGTCTATCTCTTACTAAATGGCCTCAGTTTCTTGATGAACATTACTGTCAGGGATTATCAGAAGTGAGAAAGGACATACATGAATGTCATAACAAAACCTGTAATGCATAATACATGCCATAAAAAACTTAAGAAATAAAAGAAAGCAGGTAGGTAACAAACAGCGGGTACACAGACATTGGTCCTAATCGCACCCAGTAGACTTCCAACACACAGTTATTGATAAAAGGTAGTGACATATGAACTGCTGGTTAATGTCTTCATATACTGAGAGAGTGAGAAAGACGGGGAGGGTCTTCTTTAAACTCAAATGTGGAGATCCACTTATCTTCAGACTTAACAAATATATTCTACCTGATTAGAATATATTTAAGTAGGCCAAAAAAAAAAAAAATGATGAATTAATAGCAATAGAATTACTGCTCAACATTTAATAAAGAAAATTCACTGGTAATTCAAACTCAAACTAAGCTTAAAATAACAAGAATGTTTCCATTTTCCACTTGGCAAGCAGTTGACTGAAAGACTACAATTCCCACAGACCACTGGGAAGTCCTCCAACCTTGATAGGCTTTTAAATATCAAGTTTCTTTAATAGTTTAAGACTCCAACGTCTGGTGATTGAAGGTGCCACAGATGTAGTTGTCAGCCTTCCTTCACAACCTATGAGGAAGGATTTTCCCTCTGGAAAACCACAACTTGCTATTCTGCTCAATTTAAATATGAACCTTCAAAGGAAACAAAACCGAGGGATTTTTAGGAAAAAAAACAAAAACAAAACAAAACAAAATAAAACTTGTTAAGTCAGCTCTTGTGCGCAAAATAAAACGCTCCATGGAACTTGAAACAATTATTAAATGTGAGATAGGGACCAGAGGGTTGGGTTTCATTTCACTTTTGGTTGATGAGAAGGTTAATATGAACCAATTGATATTCTGCAGGTGCTTAAGAATAAAATAAATCTAAGGCTGTGGCAACAAAAATGTTTAGTAGCTAATAGGATTTCAAATGTTACTGAAATGAAGAAATGACAAATGTCAAAACAATATGCAAATTGCTTTGGCCCAAATTTAAAGGCTTTTATATATATAAACATATATATATATATATATATATATACACACATATATATATTTGATATGATAATCATATTAAAATCTGTACACCTAAGGAAGTAATCAAGAAGGAGGACCCTGGGTAAGATGCGCAATCTTCATTTAGAAATGCAAACGAGATGGACATCAGAAGAGGGAGAAAATAGGGAACAGGTCAGGAGCCTACCACAGGGGGCCTCTGAAAGACTCTACCCAGCAGTGTATCAAAACATATACTGAGACTCATAGCCAAAGTTTGGGCAGAGTGCAGGCAATCTTATGAAAGAAGGGGGAGATAGAAAGATCTGAGAGAACAGGAATTCCACAAGGAGAGCAACAGAACCAAAAAATCTGGGCCCAGGTGTCTTTTCTGAGCTGATACTCCAAACAAGGACTACACGTTGAGACAACCTAGAACCCCTGCACAGATGTAGCCCATGGCAGCTCACTGTCCGAGTATGTTCCCTAGTAATGGGAGCAGGGACTGTCTCTGACATGAACTTATGGGCTGGCTCTTTGATCACTTCCACCTGAGGTGGGGGGCATCCTTACTAGTCTACAGGGGAAGACAATGAAGCCAGTCCTGATGAGACCTAATAGGCTAGGGTCAGATGGAAGGGGAGGAGGACCTCTGCTATTAGTGGACTTGGGGAGTGGCATGGGAGATGAGCGAGGGAGGGTGGGATTGGAAGGGGATGGAGGAGGGGCTACAGCTGGGATAGGTGAATAAACTGTAATTAATATTAAAAAAAAAAAAAAACCTACTTGAGTAACAGTCTCCTTATGGATTTGGAGAAACTTCTGCCCTTAGCTCAGTTGAGGATAATGGAGCCCTACCTATCAATCCAGAGGAAACAGGAAACAGGTTTTATGTATAGTCACATAAAACCCGAGCACCAATGCCATCTGCAGAAGCCCAAATGCTAACTTAGTTATTCATAATAATTTCAATGGATATGAACATAAAATACAAACATTTTATTTTTAGAGTAAATCTTGTAAAATACAGAACTTTGGAAAAATGTAACGTTTGGCCCTTGTGGGTGGTATTAATCTGAATAGTCTGTTAAGAAAGGCCAGAACCTCTGCTCAAGGGAGGATGCTTGAATTTCACTCAGAAGGGGAAATAAAATAGACATCTGAAGTAGATGGAGGGAGGGAACCCAGTGGGAGAGGGGGTGAGGATCAAGGAAAGTGGGGCCTGGGAGAGCTGAGAGACAGAATGGAAACTGGCAGGGGGTGGAAATCTCTGGGACGGGAGAGGCTCCTGAAAGTATATGGTGGTGACCCTAGCCAGATGGGTCTTCCAGCAGAAGGAGGGGACACTAACCCACACACAAAACCTTCAAGCCAGCCAACCAATGACTGGCCCAACTTAAGTCCCATGCCACAAGAGAGAGAGAGCCCAGCCAGGACAGCTTTAATATTCTGCTATACCTGCAGGCAGGAAGCTAGTATAACTGTCATCTGAATGGCTTCAACCAACAGCTGATGAAAACAATGCAGAGACCCGCAGCCAAACATTAGATAGAGCTCAGGGAATCTTATGCAAAAGGGGTAGGAAGGATTGAAAGAGCCGGAGGTCCAGGACACCACAAGAAAACCTACAGACTCAACTAACCTGGACCCACAGGGACTCACAGAGACTGAACCACCAACCAGAGAGCATGCATGGGATGAACCTAGGCCTCCTCCACATATGTAACAGATGTTCAGCCTGGTCCTCATATGGACCTCTAAGAGCAGGAGTAGGGCCTGTCTCTGACTCTGTTGCCTGCCCTTGGATCCCTTTCCCCTAACTGGCCAGCCTTGTCGAGCCTCAAGAGAAGAAGATGCACCCAGTCCTACTTGGTTGGTATCTATGTCAAGTCTCCCCTTCTCTGAGAAAAAAGGAAGGAGAGCATACAAGGAAAGGGGAGAGGATAGGAGGAGAGAGGGAAGCTGAGGGGTCTGGAGAGGAGGGGAACTTCCTACAGAGATAAAAAGTAAATTAATTAATTAAAAAAATCCTAGCACTCGGGGAGGGAGAGACAGGCCTATGAGTTTGAGGCCAGCCTGGTCTAGAAAATGAGTGTAGGCGAGCCAAGGCACCACAGAGAAACCCTGTCTCAAACAAACAAACAAACAAACAAACAAACAAACAGACAAACAGACAAACAGACAAACAGAACAGGGACCCCATGTTAATGTTTACAGCCCCAATGACAAAGAGTCTCGTTGCTACCTGATACTGGTGTAGAATTGCTGCTGAAGAGATGACTTGGCAGCAGTTCAAAGTTCAAGTTGTTTTTGATGGACTTCCTTTTCTTACTTGAGAAGGCCTGAGAAGATTCTCCTGGTAGTTTACGCTTAACACTTGGTGTGAGAATCAATGGTGACACAGAGGCCTGGGCTGAAAACCACACAGAAATGACACGTTTCTCCACAAAATATGGTAACATACAAAAGCTTTAATTTCTTATAAGCACGATTACTTACAAGTTAACAAAAAATGTGAGATACATTTTCATGATCCACTATTACTTAACTAAATCAACATTCTGCAATTATTTAAAATAAAAATAGCAAAGTTACAAAGAGGCAAAATTCTCCTCCCCTCCCCCCCCATTGTTACTATGCAGCCCAGACAAGACTTGAACATGAGATTCTTCTGCCTCGTTCTCTCATGTACTGGGGTTAAAGGCACAAGCAACCTTATTGAGCTTGGCAAGACTTAAAAAACAGCAGTAACTTAAGCTGGATAGAGTAATAGACATATATAATAGATGAAATATTATCAATACAGGGAAGAAAATTACATTCAAAGATAAACTTTTTACCCTGACACAAAGTTAGGTTGAGCCATGTTCAAATGCTCTAAATTATAAGCAACTGAAAATCATGATTAAGATTATTTTAAAGATGACAACAGAAAAAGAAAATTCTTACCTACCATACAATTCTGAGTTCATCACACTCAAATGTAACTAGTAACATAACAAAGTATACTCAGTGAAATATTTTAAGGAAATAGTGCTGGGATGTGATTATTAGGCAATTATTTTAATTGTTCTTCACAGAGCACTAAAGATATTTTTATTTAAATATTTAAATATAACAAACACCTACCGGTTCTATCTTGTTGAGGTGTAATAGAGGGTGTTCTGCTAGATTTAAGTTTATTTAGGGCTCCATTAACAAAGTCTGAAATGCAAGGCACATACAGTTACATAGGCAATTAAGATGTAGTATAATCTGCCTTGTACCAATAATAAAAAAGGAAACATGTCTAAGAAATAAGCTACATTTGTGGCAGGGAGCTTTATAATTTGAACAGTGTGGTCTAGAAGCCAAGAAGAGATAAGAAAGCAATCTGCCCTACAGAGTTCAGAGCCACTTATAGATTGACCTCTAGGACTGTGATTTCTAAGTCATTCAATTTATGTCCTTTGACCCAGTAGCTCTATGAAACTAAAAGAGAAGTAAAAAGAATCTACAAAAGTAGCAAAGAAAGAGCAAAAGAAAGCAATAACTAAGCCAAGATTCCGAAAGAAATGATTCCCAAAAGGTTGGAAACTGGGCTGAGGAGATGGCTCGGTGGATACACTCTGCTGTGCAAGTGCGAGGACCTATGTTCATAGCTCTAGAGCCCCATTAAAGCCAGGTAAGGCACTATGCATCTGGAGTCTCAGTAATCCTTTGGGAAGACTGGAAGGCAGAGAGAGAGCAGAAGAATCCCTCGAAGCTCCTGGGACAGCCCGCCTGGACTGCACAGCGGTAACCAGAGACTCTGTCCCTAAGCAGCTGGAACGCAGGACTGACATGCAAGCTTGTCCTGACTCCCCTTGAGAACCCATGCACGTGAGCATGTGCACAACATACTGGCGAAGCCTCGCACGGAGGACGGATGGCCTCACTCTTCCTCACCAAAAGGAGACGGGAACTATTATCACCACGCTAGAACTTTGTTCTATGTTCTTTTGAATCTTCTTCAGTAACATTTCCTTCATAACTGACTTCACGCTCCTCATCCACACAACTAAGTTCTTCAAAGACCTAGCACCTGCCTTTTGCCAATCTCTCACCATTCTCTCCACCTCCAGGTGTCAAACCTTCAAATTACATAAACTTACAACATACTTCACTGATGTCATACCTCAAGGTACAAATCTTCACTGTTTTGCTAACACACTGGATCAGAGTCTCCAGTTCCACATTATACAATGTACACACCCACCAGATGACTCAAAACACACTGATCTGTTCCTAGAACAGACGTGTTTCTTTCTATTCAGATTTCTCAGCTAGTACAGAATGTACATTTTCTGTTTTCATTCAATTTCTGTGTTCTACACATCCTTCAAGAAGGCCCAGGCTGAAGGCTGGGGATATAGTTCCAAGGCATAGTGCTTGCCTAGCCTGTACAAGGCCCTAGTTTCAATTCCCAGCACAATAATAAATAAGGCTTGGTTACACAAGCTCCTGTGATTATAGCCCAAGGAACCTTCTGTTAAAGATTAAGCATTTAATATCAGATTGTATTATCACTTGATAATACATGCCCATGCTTTATTTCACTAACTAGGTATCCAAAAGACATATAGCACAGCCAATGCTGATGTTTGCATTTTAGATGAAAGCCAATCTCAGCACTACCCAAATAACAGCAACACTCACCTCCAACACTTTGTCTTCTTTTTCTCTTACATTCACCAGGAGTTTCATGATCTCCTTCAAAGCCTTCTAGGGATGGTGTAGTACAGAGTCCATCAATACCTAACATGACTGGTATCTTGTCCAGGATAAAATCTGGCACACGTCCTAAATAAAAATATCCACAAGACAATTATTCCTTCCCTCCTTTCCCACTCCAAAGTCTAAGTAATAATATCGCCTTTCTAACAGCTGTCTTCGTAGTTCGCATGGAAGTGGCCAGGATCTCCCTCACCCAAACAACCAACCGACTACTTGACAATGCCACAACCTCTTACCAATGTCTGACGCGCAGTCAATAAGAGTGTGCACGACTGCTGCCTGCAATCGTAGCTTTTTCTCGGTGTTGGCAGACATCTTCTCATGGCCTTCACTTGTCTGAAGAAGATTCGGTGCAAATATAACTGCAAGATTGCTGCTATCCATTTTATTCTCACTCGCCCTGATGACAAAAGACTTTATTAAATGACTAAAAAGGTAAAATTCCAGGAAGTTAAAATACCATAGTGAGTACCTACAAGTAAAACAAACAGCCCTCATCTACAGACCCACATAACTGGCCTGAAGAAGGAAGGGACAAAGAGGGAAGGCACATTAAGGGTAAGGCTTAACTGTCAGTCTGTTTGCTATGCAGAAGGCCCGAGTTCTACCCTTAGCTCTATAAAAACAAAACAAAGAACACAAGAACCCAAAATATATGGTCTCACAGATTTAACACTTTGTTCTTTCACACTAAGTCTGTCTATCTGATTTTAGAGCCACACAGAGAAAATGAAGCGTTAGAAGGCATCGGTTATAAACAAGTTCACTAAGAGCAGGAAGAGTAAAATTAAGAATACACACATTTTAAAAGCACAGCAACCAGGATCCATCCAGTAGAGGAGGGGTCTTGTAAATACCAATAAGGGCTTAAGGTAGCCATAATAAAGATTCTAATGATGCAAAATACTACATTACTTGGTATATTGTTTCTTGGTCTATTTCCTATAGTAAAGACTTTTTTTTTCATTTCAATTAAATTTATTAATTACTGGAACTAAGGCTTTTAATTAGCACTTACCTAAGAGAAACATTTTTGAGAAAGTTAAAGAAGTATCTTAATATATCAACTGTAGGATCTGCCATAAGACATGACAGCAACAATGTAGCTTTATTCTTCTCCTCTGCTTCTAACTGTTGCGCTTTGAAAAGTGCTTCATGCAGATCAGCTGGGAGGACAGGTTCTGGCAATTCCCGGAAGAACTGCTTAAGCACGCCTGCAACATCACACGGAAGTGCAGAAGACAGGCAGGCCTCGCCATTGTCCAGCTTACTCTAAAACAGACACAGGAATCTTGAGCCTTCTAGACGCTTAAGAACATATTAAATACAGTAATTGTTATTATGTCCAATTAAGAACTCTTGTTTAAAACACCAGTCCTTGCCTTTGACATTATCTGACTGGCCTGCTCTTTGATCCCCTCCCCCTAAAGGGGGAGCAGCCTTACCAGGCCACAGAAGATGACAGTGCAGCCAGGGATTCCTGATGAGATCTGATAGACTAAGATCAGAAGGAAGGAGGACCTCCCCTATCAGTGGTCTTGGGGAGGGGCATGCAGGGAGGAGGAGGGAGGGTGGGATTGGGAGGGGAGGAGGGAGTGGCTTATGGGGGGGATACAAAATGAATAAAGTCTAATTAATAAAAGTTAAAAAAAAAAAAAAGTCCATGAGCGCCAGTGGTTACTTAGTAACAAGGCCTGAAAAACTCAAACCAACAAAATCTAAGACCAAGGTCTTAGGAACCAGGAACCGCTCTCACTGAGTTCTTGTGAGGGAGCTGATACACACAGAGCTGATTTTTTTCTTTTTTTATTTTTGTATTTGAATTTAACTCTTTGGTTTCATCAAGACAGGGTCTCACTATGTCGCCCTGGCTGTCCTGGAATTCACTCTATAGACCAGGCCGGCCTCAGGCCCACAGAGATCACCTGGCCCTGTCTCTCCAGTGTGGGGGTTAAAGGCACGTGCCACTACGCCTGGCTACAGAATTAAAATTTAATACAATTCTTTAAAAAAAAAAAAAAATAGATAGATAGATAGATAGATAGATAGATAGATAGATAAATAAATAAAACGCCAGTCTTTTCTAGAAGGCTAAAAATAATACAGTTGAGTTTTCTTTTCATATAGAATTATTTTATAAGACTGAAGAGCACAAATTTAGATGCATACTATATTTTTAAAGCTATATAAAAACAACAAAATTTTATTTTAAAAAATATTTAACCTGTAAAAATAAAATCAGGAAATAGTACTAATGAAAAGGTATAGTTCAAAACCATGATTACCTTTAGTGCCTTTAGACGAATAACAGATCCTGACTTCCTAAAAAGCCCTTCTGTATGAATATGCTCTTCTAAAGACGTGCATGCATCAACAAGAAAGCTGAAAGAGAAATCATGTTCTTTCAAGAGTTCAGATACACACCTCAATAACCCCATTCTACCACAAACACACAAGCAGGTCAGGCATTATGCCTTCTTAGCTGTAGTGCCAAAAATTCTCCTGATCCTTGTCACAACATATTAATTATCTAGTTGTTTTCCTTATTCCCCAACTTTTCCTCTAAGGTTTACAGCTTTACTTACGGCACATACCGCACCCAGCAAGGCTCCAGGGACAGAACTGACTAAGTGAGGCAAAGAAATGAAGCAAAGAGAGACACAAAGAAATAGCCGAGGTCAGGTAGACTGGCTCTTGGAGAGAACCAGCCCCCTGCTCACACTCAGTTTGTTTCGTATATAGATTTGAACAAGGAGGTGGGGTTATTGCTGAAGAAGCAGGCAGGATTATTGCATGCAGGAAAACAAAGAGGCAGGGCTCACAGTATACACTTAGATCAAGGAGACAAGTTTAGCTAATCTCTGTAGGAGCAGTCTTTGAAGACTATCAGTCTTCATTGTGGGTGGGGTGAAGGGCTATAGTGGACATTTTCTTAACACTGTCAACACCTGCCCTCAGTCTCCCTTATATAAAAGGCTTTTCCATTCCTCCACGGGCATAAATCACTGGGGTCCTCAACATTACTGTGACCATGTGAGCAGCACATACCCACTAGGACTTCACACACTCAGGGCTTTCTCCATTTGACACAAATGTGCCCTCTTAAGTCTACATTGTTTTCTGCCTGGCTTCTGACTTCCCCATCTCTACCTAACTCCACCAGGCACATTCACCCTCACTACTTCAAACAGCCTTCACCAAGGACACCACTGCCCTCTGTCTCACCAAATTACTTATCTATTCATTGTCTCCTCATATTGCTTGATTCATCAACATGATACATCTAACCTCTCCCCTGCTCAAAAAAATGTCCTCTTCGCCATTCTTCTGGTTTCCTGCTATCTCCCTAAGCTGCTCACTCCCAAGCTCTCTAGGTCCCTTCTCTTCTACTGATTTCCACATATGAAATGACCTGGGCTTTGTTCAAAGCCTTTTTTGAAGACCAAGTTTCATGTAGCCTGGACTGGCCTCACATTTGCTGTGTATCCAGGGTGACCTGGAACTGCGATTCTTCCAGTCTCCTGTCAAGCGCTGGGATTGCAAGTATTCACCACCATGGCTACCTGGCCCAAGGCTTTCTCTAGCCATTGGCTCTCCACTGGTGGTGACCTGGTATAACATATACAGCTTTAAATAGCTATCACCCTACATTTCCCCCCAAGACAACATCAAGTTTTTTTTCATCCCAACATTTTTCCTTGGAAAAACAAAAGCCTTCCCTGTCCTTATAATCATTCTCATGTTAAAGGGTGAAGCTTCCATTTTACCCAGAAACTAATCTCAACCAATGTAAACTTTAGATTCAACAGCTGGCATCAAAAAATTACAAAGTATGTCAGCTAACAAGCAATGACAAAGCTGTATTGACACTTCGTGCCCAAATGTAGCCCTGGGAACAAGATGACTGACAGCTGGTTCTGTTCACTTACTTACAGGTAGCCCAGAGATGACAAGACTTTCAGTTGTTTCTCTTGGATCTAAGAGTGCAAGTGTTACCCAGCAGGAGTAGGATGTGATGTGTGCTAGGCCACAGCACTCAAGCTGGAGGGCAGAGAGGGATTCTGTGGAGCCAGATTTTCTCCTTCCACCTTACACATGGGTTGGCACTAGCCCTTCCTCGGGCTGACATTCAGGCACCAAGTGTCAATACAGCTCCCCATTGCTTGTAGCTGGCATACTTTCTAACTTTTTGGTGCCAGCTGTGGAAAGCACCTTTATCCCCAAGTCATCTTCATAGCCCTATGTTTTTTATTTTTCATAATAGGTGATGTTCAGAGATGAAAAAACGTAGTTTTAAACAAATGTATGCACCAATCAACTATTTTGAAACTACTTTTAAAACTAGTTTGAAACAGTCTCTTCATTTTGAAGTCTGATTACCTTGGAATGTGTCCATATTCTGGAACAACTGAATGAGGCAATGAATTTAAAGGAACTCCAAATATCTTACCCTAAAATGACAAACTCAGTTACTCTACACAGTATTAGGCATAAAATAAAATCATTAACATTAGGCAAACAAAGATCTCTGGAATGAAAACATTATCAGAAATAAACTCCAAGTTGTCATTCAAAACAATTATTTGAAGTACATTTACTAGCAAGTAATTCCTCCAAGACAGTTGGTAAGTAAAACAGTTAACTCCTGAATTCCTGTCACATGAGTACTTTGTAAAATATATCAAATGTGGGTATTTTTAGACCTTATGACTTTTCCATGCTATACAGCAGAGTGTTTTTCAACTATGTCCTGAGGTACACAAGGCCAAGACTGCAAATATTTAAGACAATTTTCACTTAGCTACCTTGAGACTCACTTTTTAAGAATACACACTCATGGTTTAAAACACCCAAAAAATATACTTGTGTTTTGGGTTTTTTTGCCATGATCTTCATTCATACTTCTTCCTTCTTAAAAATGTGTCACTGATTCACTGATTACTAAGGCTGTGGCTTCAAACTAAATTGAAAAAGTCAAGCCTGTATATGTATATGTCTGCAGACTCAAAATTAAATCAGTGCACCTAATCTCCTGTTGATTTAGTTCGGATGCGCCTGTTCTCCATACTGCTTTTGAAGTACTTCTGATTGAGAATACCACTAGGCACTGTTAATGATTCAACCCAGTTATGAAATTTTACTAGTTCTGTTTCTAGTACTTATCTTGTTTTGACAAATATCCTAAGCAGAAAAGATCACCCACTCAAAAACAGAAATCAAGACAGCCAATTTTCAAAACACTAGCTTTTCTAAGTTTTAGCTGTACAACCTTAATCAAATCGTTATAACATTTTTCTGCCTCTTATGTCTGCCTCTTGTGTCATTATGTTATAGAAAGAGTTATATCTCATTAGAATGTTATTAGCATTCATAGCACAACCCTTATTTAGGATCTGAATAACTGTCATAGTGGAATAAGAGGCAAGTGAATGGTGCTATGCCAGGCCTACCTACAAAACTTACCAGGAATTACCACATTATAAAATAAGAAACTGAAGCTCAATGAGAATGAACAAGCAGCCCACATTCATAGTTAACTGTAAAGCAGGAATCAAACTCAGGCCTGTCTCTAAAGGCAAATAGAAGGATGTTTGTTAAGGAAAGAAAGAAAAAAGAGCAAATGCCTATTTTTAAGGTGTGGAAAGACAGTTTCACCAACAGAAGGAACCACTGTCGTTTTTAACCAAAAACAAACACATTAAATAGGTGTGATGACACACCTCTCTAATCCTAACACTAGGGAAGTGAAGGTAGAATGATCAGCTCACAGCAGCCTTAGCTAGTGAGTTCAAGGTCAGCCTGTGCTTCATAATGCTCCATTTCAAACAACAAAAATCTTTATGCAAGTTAATTAGTTCTTTTTCTTCAAGTATACCAAGTGCTTATAAATTATTCACGTCCTTTTTTTGTCGTTATTGTTTTTTTTTTTTTTTTTTTTTTTTTTTGAGAGAGGGTTCCTCTGTGTAGCCCTGGCCTGGAACTCACTCAGTAGACCAGGCTGACCTAGATTTCCCAAGTGATGGGATTAAAGTCCAGAGATCGACCTGCATCCTGCCCTGCCAAGTGATGGGGGTCAAAGACATGTGCCACCACCACCCCAGCTCCCACAAACTTTTAAAGTGACTTATATTCAAATTATCACAATTAGAGTCTTGATTACTCGAAAGAGAATATAATTTTGCCCCAAATCTCTTTACCTCTACCACTAAATCAAAAAGTAGGTTTTTTGGGCCAGTGAGATGGTTTGGTGACAACCTGTATTTGATCCCCAAGACCCATCTAACAGGAGAGAACTAATTCATGCAAGTTGCCCTGAACCCCAGATGCATGCCACGGCATGAGTGGGCCGGTGCACACACACAAAAGTAGTTGGGAAGCATGGGATGGGGATCTTGAAACTTTAGCGGAAATAAGAACTGAACTTTTGCTAAACCATTTAAATCGGCAACAACAACCACAACAAAAAAACTTCAACCAACACACTCTACAACCTTATTAAAAAGACAGGCTTGTAGCCAGATGGTGGTGGTGCACGCTTTTAATGCCAGCACTTGGGAGGCGGAGGCAGAGGCACGCAGAGGAGTTCGAGGCCAGCCTGGTCTACAGAGAGTTCCAGGATTACACAGAGAAACTCCTGTCTCTGAAAAACCAAATCCAAAACCAAACAATCCCTCCCCCCAAAATAAATAACTTAACAACAAACCAACCAGGTTTGTTTCAGTCTAGGGCTGATGTTGGGTGGACACTGTTTTATACTGCTAAAGAGGCCATAAAGTGTAATACGGTCAGGCAGCACGCCTGTTTTCCTAAATCGCTGAATAGAGGATATAACATGACGCCCGTTTATGATACTTAAGCTGATTTTCTCATATGCTGATTTGTTTGAAATCAGTGATGGCTCACGACAGTCTGGCAGATGACAGACTGTCTCCCTCCCCACACACTGCTTGCATAAAAACACAATAAACTATCAGGTCAGCGGCACAGTATTTATAAGCAGAAGGCCCAGGATCCTATTCCCAGCACCGCAAAAACAACTGGGCACTATAAAGAGGAACATCTGATCGTCACTACCCAGATGTTACTGACATCTGGCAGTATACTGATTTAAAATTTCAACGGTGCTACAGCAATTTTCAACGCTCAAGTTTTTGGGCGAAAAAAAAAATCCTTAAACTCGTGAAAACGACCACACAGATTTTAGTCTAACCACGTCTTTCCTATCCAGAATAAACTAGGTGTGGCCCTGTCCCCACACGTTTTACTTACCCTTATTTCCGTAGCTGCGGTTTCATTTCTCCTGCGATCACAATGCCCGCGGCCACCCTTGACCTTAATGCCATAGACAGCCCGAAGCTGCTGCAGCAGGGCCAATCTGACCAGCCTCCGATCCCACATCCCGAACACGTCGCCCACTCTCCGAGGCCGACTCCGGGCCCTGACTTTCCTTTGCCACCAACTCTTCCAATTTCCAAACACCCTCAAGCTTGAGCTCCGCTCCGCTGCCTTCCGGCCACCTCCGGCACTCTTCGGGCCCAGGGCCCCGGCCACTTGCACCGCTTCCCTTCGATCCTTTATCCGCTTCCACGCCCTTCTGCTCCCCCGCCACACTTCACTCCTGTCTCACTTCCGCCGACCTTCCTTCGGACCCCTCGGCCCTGTCAGCTCCTTACACCAACCTCCTTTTCCCCCCCTCCGACTCTTCCGTTTTCCGAGACCAACGCCTGCGGCTAGCTCCGCGCTTCCGGACACTTCCGCCTATCCTCTTCCGCGCAGGGTGGGGTGGCCCGCTCGGAGCTCACCGGTGGAACCGCAACCTTGACCTCGTCCCTCCAGCCGGGCCAGCCGGCTGTTCGGGGACCTCCCAGTCCCGGTCCCCGCCCGGGCTGGTCCCCACCGTCGCCCCGTCTCGCGCGCCGCCTCTCCCCTAGCCCATCAGCCTGCCTCCCGCCCGGGCCTGCTAAAGCTCAGGGGCTCGGCTCAGGCCTCCGCCCCTCCTCCTCGGCACGCATCACGCCGGCCAGGACGGCACTCAGCAGCCCCAGCCAGACTCAAACGCCAGCGCCAAACAGCGTCCCGCGTCTGATTGGCCCGCTCCTGTTTTCAAAATGAGGACCCTTTGGGGTGGCCAGGAGATGCCTGTGTGGAAGGTTCCGCGACGTGCGCGGTGCGCAGGCTTAAGACATGTGGAAAGAGAGTGAGTTTCACTTTCTCTTTGCAGATCATTTTTGGAAGTAAAAACGTCTACAGCGTGTCTGAATAGACTTGCTTTATTCTTCAGACAATATGCTTCGGGGATCCGACTAGACAGCTCATACTCTCCCCCTCACCCTTGACTGAAGCTAAAGGACCCGACACGAAAAAAAAAAACCTGATTCTACGGTAGCCCGGGTGAATCAACTTTAGTTATGAATCACAAACGCGGTTGTTTGTTTGTTTGTTTGTTTGTTTGTTTGTTTGTTTGTTTGTTTTGAGACCCCACCCTAAGGTCCTAGCTGGGAATTGGAACCTTGCTCTATTGGTTCTTATTTGGAAGAGTGATTGTAGCATTAGATTTTCTTGCATAGGGACTTGTCGCGGGAGAGCGGTAGCGGAGTACCGCATCTACGGGAGGCGGCTGCGGCAATAATCCTCCTACTGTGGGATTTGGCTAACGGACCAGGAGTCCGGACATACTGCCATGGCCGTTACCGGAACCTCCGGTGTCTGATTTACGTGCAAATGGTCACCCTCGCAACTTGTTCCCGGAGCTGCCTCTGTATTTCGAACGTCCCAACCCCACCACCACGTCCTGTTGCTTGGGATGTAGTAACTGTAGGCCAGGAGACGTACTCATGATATGACATATGTATTTACTTGCACCCCATGAAAACTCAGAACGCTAACACTTTTTTTTTTCCAATGGGGTGTTGGTTCTTTGGTATCCGAGAGCGTCATGGAATAACTAGTTACTAATTAATTAAGGAATGTAAGTAGGGAATGTTTTCGTACAGTCATTTTGTTTCTCCAGTGAGTTAACAGAGCAAAATAGACATGAAAAAGAAGTTCAGACCTTGACATGGGCAATCCTGGGAAGTTGTTGGGAATAAGAGGATTAAAAAAAACAAAACAAACAAAAAAACCACACACACACAGTTAAGGCTCAAGCAGTCAATATCTATTGAGAGAGGAGAATCACTTTTCTCCAGAGATGAGGCTCAAGTCGTCAGTCAGAAACACATGTACATAAGAGCAACTAAGGAATGTAACAGGTTTGTTTTAGAGGGATAGGAGTGCATCACCATAGCAGGGAGCATAGTTGCAGGCATGTAGGAATGCCTGGAGCAGCAGCTCAGGTTCACACCTTGCTCCACAAACAGGAAGCAGGGAAAACTAGCTCAAACTGACACAAACCTATTGAAACCTCACAGTCTGCCCCTAAGGACATACTTTATCCTGCAAGGCCACACCTCCTATCCTCCCCAAACAGCCACAAACTGCAGACCATCTAAATGTCCAATTTTTATCGGAGACATCTCATTCAAATAAGGTGTCATATATACAATTGAAAGACCCCTGCCTCACTCTAAGTTAAACATAGCTAACGCCATTTTGTGAGACACCACTGTTTTGTAAAACTCTGAAGGCCAGATGAGAAACTGGAAAATTACTGAGAAACCTAGCTGTGTCACCCACTTGGGATATCTGTGGTCAGGCTGCCCCTGTTGAGTTAAAAACAACTTGTTGTGACTACCCTCATGGGATATCTGACAGAGGTTGTTCCAGCTGAGATAGGGAAAAACAAAATAACAAGTGGCCACGTTAAGGGGTGGTCAATCTTGGTGTCCCTGCCAAACTTTGACGCAAACCGTGGTCTCATGTAAACGTACCAATCAGCCCCCTGTAACCATGCTTCTCGCTTCTGTACCAGTGCTCCTGCTCTAAAACCCTATAAAAACCCCAGCTTCCTATCTAGGGGGCGCGTAAAGTCATCTGAGTGGCTTTCCGCCCGGGTACCCGTGTATCCAATAAAGCCTCTTGCTGTTTGCATCCGAACGCCTGGACTCGCTGATCCTTGGGAGGGGGTCTCTCAGACGAAAGATACCCTCAGGGGGGGGGGGGGTCTTTCACAATGTGTGTGTACATTCAGTCATAACTTTAAACATAACTTATGTCATGTGTATTTTTCTCTAGACCATGTTGTCCTGGTTCTCAGATGGCTGAGAGTTCCTGTTAAGGTACTTAGATCAGCTCTTGAATATTAAATAATGTTTTCTACTTACTATTTACATTTACAAATGTTTGTGCTGACTACTTTTATGGCAAGTTGATACAAGCTGGAGTTATCTGAAGAGAGGGAACCTCAACAGAGAAAATGTCACTACAAGTTTTAGGGCATTTTCTTAATTAGTGGTTGAGTGGTACCGTCCATGGGATGGCAGCCATTGATTTTGTAAGAAAGCAGGCTGAGAGAGCTAGGATGAACAAGCCAGTAAAACAGCACCTCACCATGGCCTCTGCATTAGCTCCTGCCTCCAGATCCTTGCCCTGCTTGAGTTCCTGTCTTGGCTTCCTTCAGTGATGGACAGTGATTTAGAAGTGTAAGGCCAAATAAAACTCTTTCTTCTCCAAGTTGCTTTTAGTCATGGTGCTTCATCACAGCAATAGTAACCCTAAAAGGACAGAAGTTGGTTCCAGGAAGTAGGTTATTGCTGTGACAGGCCTGGATATACTATTATAGGAACATGGAAGATGTTAGGACTAGAAAGGCAGTTGAACATCTGAAATGGAGCTTACTGGGTCTTCCTGTTAGGAGCATGGAAGACAATGATGCTGAGAGCAGTACAGATGATGATGGCCCAGCCCAAGAGGTTTCAGAAGGGGAAAATATTAGTAAATTGCCTAGAGACCATTCTTGTGATATTTTGTAGAAGAATGGCTGCTTTCTGCCCTTGTCCAAAAAGTTTTCCCAAGGCTAAACTGAAGAGTTTTGGACGAGTGACATTAACAGGAGATTTCAAGACAGCCTAGCACTGTCTGTGTTGCACGGTTATTAGTAGTCACTCTTATGCAGATCTATAATGAAAAGGAACAAGCTGGACAAAGAGAAATACAAAATGTACAGTTTGAGGAGAAAAGGAAGTGTAATGGAGCTAAGTCCAGTGTTCAAGGTGATAAAAAGTTTCAAGAAAAGCCCGTTGCTACGAGGAATAATGGGAGTGGTGACTTCAAGGCAAGATCCTACCCATCTAAACTTGAACCTTGTGAAAGGAAATAAAGGAAAGCTTAAGCAGTGAAAGAACCCATCAAGCACAGAAAGCTTATGCAAATGTAGTTGAAGGAGGTGGCCAAATTCCATCCCCATCAGGCAACAGAGCTTCAGCAATGTGGTTCTGGCTTTAGAGTCAAGTATATAAGACAGGAGTTGTGGAATTTTCTTCTGGGGCTCAGAAAAACCACAGAGGCCAAATGTATATCAAGGATGTTTCTGCATGGATACCCAGAGAGGCCACTGTGTGAATCTGCGAAGGTGAAACCTGAATTATGTTGGAAACCCCAAGATGTTGAAGATGTCAGAGTTGGGGGATACCTGTTAAGAAGAACTGCAGACCAGGTGTGGAACCAGCCCGAGAGAAAGAAGTGTGTTGTGGTCAGTCAACAAAGTGAAAGGAGCTGAAGATCTAAAAGAGTGCTCTGACATCAGGCATAGAGATGCAGGATTTAAAGAGTTTGCCCAGCTGACTTTTGGTCTTGCTTTAGTTCAGTATTTCCTCATTCTGCTCCTTTTCCTTCTTTTTGAAATAGTAATGCATGTTCTGTGCCAGCGCATGTTGGAAGTATGTGATCTTCTTCTATATTTTGATTTTAAAGAGGATTGCACTTAAGGATCGCTTTGAGTCTCAGAAGAGACTTTGCACTTTTAAACAGTGTTGAGATTGATAGACTAAGGGGACTTTTGAAGTTGAACTGAATTCATTTTTGCATTGTGATAGGGTTACAAGCCCATGGGGGTCAAGGAGTGTAGATTCACATATTTGAATGCTTAGTCATCAGGAAGTGGCACCATTTGAAAGGATTAAAAGGATTAAGAGGGATGGCCTTGTTGGAGGAAGAAGTGTGTCACTAGGAGTGGCTTTTGAGGTTTTAAAACCCTATGCCAAACACAGAGTATCTTTCTCTGCCTACGGATAAGGCTATAGTTCTCAGCTACTGCTCCAGCATGTGCCTGCATGCTACCATGCTTCCTGCTATGATGATAATGGACTGAAATGTTGAAATTGTGAGCAAGCCCCCAATTAAATTCTTTCTCTTTTAACAGTTGCCTTAGTCATGTTATCGCTACACAGCAAAAAAACAGTGACTTAAGACAATGCATATGTGTATATTGATATATGCATATAACAATAGTAATTGAAGAAAAAGAAGTCATGAAGTTTAGAGGTAGTAGGGGGGACATGGGACAAATTGGAGCAGGAAGAGGGAAGAGTGGAGATGATGTAAATAAAATACTGAGTCATGAAATTCTCAAAAATTTTTTTTAAATTGGCAAAAGGTAGAGGGATGTGACCAGAATGTATTATACACATACATGAAAGTTTCAAAGAATAAATTAATTTTTCAAAAGTTAAGGTGAGGTGGCTGAATGGACTCAGCATTAAAGACAAGCTCCTGCAGAAAGCCATACATTTTTAATAAGAAATGGTGCATTAAAGAGAAAGCTGAACCTACTCCCTGTCTTCTTGCTCAAGTCATATCTCTAAAAAAATAACTTATGTTGTGTATACCTTTCTCCAGACCACATTTTTCTGGTTTCAGATAGTTAAGAATTTCTTCTGAGATCAGGTGAGATGGGGTGTGTTCAGGGTGGTATTGCTGTAGAATTTCTTTACAGACACTCAGATCAGTTCTTGAATAGTACGAAATGTTTTCTATTTATGTTGAACTGCAGTTAAAGCTGAACCCTTTTAAATTTCAACTCTTCTTATGACAAAAATAATGGTAATTAATTATGTTAACATAATTGCATACTTGGCTTCTCCACAGGTGTTCATATATA